TGTAAGCCGCAGAAAGAAATGTACCACAGGTAAGACAGAAGTGCTGGATGGTGTTGGCATTCCCCCCCCCATTCCAAAAAAACCCCCATCCAATCCTTATCCTCTCCCTCCAAGCCACTTTGTGCCCTTGCCAAGCCTGGCACTGCTCGAGGGGGGCAGTGGCCAGAGCAGAGCGGGAAACAGTTAGCACAGAAATCACATTTGTTGTTGTTGTTTTAGAAAGCAGTAAGGCAAATAATTAAAAAAAAAAATATTTGAGTTCTTCACATCACTGAGGCCCTGTGATGCTAAGCATCACTGACCAAATATCTTTTAAGAAAAGAATTTTTGCTATGTTTTCCTTGGATTTCCACAAGAGTTTGCTAATGAAAGGCAGCGGAAGAATGATGCAGGGGGATTAAGTGGCTCTCTGCTTGAAGAGCTGAATAATCAGTGAACGAAACAGTAAAGATCCATGTGGCTTTTATGTCTCACTGCTATGCTAGATACTTTGATGGCAGAGCTGTGCAGTCACTGACATTGTATACCAAACACACACTGTAGAAATGCTTATTAAAAAACAACATAATTAGTATAAAATGCATATTGCTTATGTAATGAGGCAGTTTTATATATGTAATTTTAAAATAAAGTAAAAATGCAAACATTATTTTAGGCAGTGCTTTGCCATCAGGCTTCTCAGCAGGTGACAGTGTGGGTTGTTTGCTGCTCTTTCTCCCTGTTGTTTTCCTCCTTACTCTCCTGACCATCACAGACCCTAAAGACTGGTAAGAAGACATCTAACAGACCATATGTGCTACTGGCAGCACACAAGACATAACTGTAATGGTCAGGGTTGTCAAACACCCCTGATGCCACAGCTAAGCTGATCCTATGTCCAGCTTTTCACAAAAAAGGCAAGCCTGCTCTCCTCATCAGACACCAGAAGCTGGGGTGCTCTCATGGACATGTCCTGGGGTGGTTGGGAAAGGGCAATGGTTGGTCTTTTATTTCTCTCATTCCCTGGCGTGTCCTCCAGCAAGTCAGGTCACAGCCAGCCCTGATATGGGCTTTGTTGTAGGGTTGCCCCTCAGGGCAAGTTGCCCTTGGGCACGGGGATCCCAGTGCTGGCCAGCCCTAAAGGCTTCACTGTGCTTGGGAAGGGCATGACCATCACCTTTCATGAGGCTTGGGGTTTCTTCCACTCGCCTGCATCTGCACCCTTGTGAGTTCCTTCCTACCCCCTTGTTGCCACAGGATTTGTGTACCACAGCCAGGCTGAAACCATTGCCTTATCACCCCCTTGCCCTGACTTAACAGTGCCTCCCTGCAAAGTCTGTATTCTGCTCTAGAAAGCATGTCCCCAGAGAAACAGAATTAATCTCAACGACCTCACACTTGGTCTCATAGATCAGTCATCTGATAATGAAACAAAAAATTGTTCATATACATCTCTGAAGTCCCCACACTTCTCTGTTGCAGCCAAATTACCCAAGAGTATTTGCTGACCTTTTAGCACACAGCTTCTCATTCTGCTGCACCCCAGAACACTGTTCTTTAGCAAAGACATGTATTAAGGGGAATTAATTAACTAGGTTAACTGTCTGGATAATCCATTTTCTTGGTATAAATTGAGTAGTGATGGAAGAATGTTGATCTGTTGCTCCTCTGCTTTCCCCACATAGAGATTAAAAATAGAAGAATATCCAGATGGAGAAATTGGGATGGGATTGCATTCTTTCTGAATATAGAGTTTTGGTAACCTCAGAAAATGAGGTGAACATTACTTGGATTTAATTTCCTAAGTGTACTAGGAAAGTTAATGTCAAAACAGTCTGATTTAGAGATCTTTGAACAAAAGAGAAGGGAAATGTTTCATTCTGAAGCAACTTTTCATTTAGACATTTAAAGAATGGGAGAATCGGGGGCCAAAAATCTGAGTGAAATGTTTTAATTGTGTTAAAACAAAAAAAATTTACAATGAACAGGCTTTGTTTGCTGTGTTGTTTGTTGGTGGACATTTTTTAAATTTTCCTCTATGGAACAGTTTATTACCTTGGTGTCTCTCAGCCCTGGGTGGAAGATTTCTCCCTACCCCTTCCACAATAGGAATGCTTTTTGCTGCCTTTTTAGCCCCAGATGAAAGACCAGAAACATGCCAAGTTTTGTGTTTCTCTGCCTTGATCCTGCCAGTGTTTTTCTGGATCTGGTATTCAGCGAAGCGTGCCCCAACTAATGACTCTGCAGATGATTGGCACCCCATGCTGGACTGTAACTTTAAGCTGGAGGAAACCCTCTGGGCTTTATGAAGAAATTCTCTCTCTGTTTTTTCCTTAGATTGCAATTTTCTTATGATAGTGGATCCACTTTATTAGCAACCAAACATTTCCTTTAATTGGCATCCTGCCCCATGCCTCCTAAATGACTGATTTGACTACAAATTGCTCAGACTCGGTGATTTATTTTTCATCTCATTTATTGCAGGCATGAATACAGGAACAGGTAAACAGCTGAGCCGTAAAAGTTTCTCTTTAGGTAGGTTTTCAACAAAATGCCATCAAACACTGTCTGATGATACACGCTGCTACTCAATGAAACAAAATGGTTTGAGCAGTCTTACGCTAAAGCTGCTACCCACCAGTCAAAGCTGCAGCTGCCAAAGAAGCCTTCTCCTCCACTTACTCTCTATCATCTTCCCTCCTTCTCCATGTCATCTACAGCTTCTTTTACGGCACTTAACTTTACAAAACACAGTTGTGAGGCTAATCTTACATGCAATTACAGATCAGTCTCAGTATATTTATTGCAAACTCCTTGAACAGCAGGACATTAAAAAAAAAAAAGAAAAAAAAGGAAAAAAAAAAGAAAAATCCCATTGCAAAATTACAAGTAGGTTTTTGTAGCAAATGAACCAGAAATGTATTTGGAAAAAATAAATAAATAAAACCAAAAGCTATTTGTGAACAGTTCAAACAAAACATGATACTACCTCCAATGAAACATTTCACTGCATTGCCAGCTCTGTTTCAAATGGGCACGTAGGCATCCTGTTGCAAGAGAGTACTGAAGCCACGAACAGAAACCTTGGAGGAGTTAATTTTCAAATTTTGCACTTCCAGGGTCTATGAAACATGAAAAATCTGCACATACCATGGGATCTGAGAGAGGTGTGGAATCTCAAATAACATTTCTAAAGAAAAACCCAGTTATTCCTTTTAAAACAAAACAGTGAAAACAGCTGAAACACGCAAAAAAAAGCACAATTGGTTGGCTTCCATAAGAGGCTGCAACATGAGAAAATATTTAACTCCTTGCATAGCTATTTAAATGGCCAATAAATTTTGCTGGAATCACCCAAACATGACAACATTGCATTCTGCCACCTAGAGACTTCACGCTGAAAAGCTGGGATCTGTTGACTGGGTCAGAGCACCACCTGGGGCACTGTTAAAAGCCAGGGCCACCTCTGATAGGCTTTGCCAGCATGGCTGTAGCAGGAGGTTTCATCAACCAACTACCCCCAGATGGGTCACAACTCTAGGGAAGCCTCTGTGCTTATGCCACTGCAAGTTGTTACCCCAGCATTCTGTCTTCCCGTAAGGGATAAAAGCTGTTCTGAAAACAGGATATTTCTGGTAGTATATTTACACCTAACGCGCAAGGCTTTTGCTGGCAGAGCTATGTCGATCACAAATTATACTTCAAAGCTCAACCCTGAATGATGCAGCTGTGTCAGCAAGGGTTTGCAATGTAGGCCTAACCAGTGGGACAGAAAGCAGGATTCATCTCATGTAACTTTAATCAATATAAAGGTAGACATTTAAGTCAGAGGCACCTCCGGAAGACAGTTCCTTTGATCTCTCATCAGGTGAGAGCTGGGCATTTTAATGTTAGATGAGATGAACCCTGTCCCAGGACAGCTGAAGAGACAAACTCCTTTCAGCTACCCTTTCCTATCACCAACTCTGGAGATCATGCTTCAGAAGGCTGCTGTTCAAATGCATTATCTTTACACATGTCAATGTACATGATAATGATAGCCTGTGCTGGGCTTCATGCTGCCACAACTACATATGCAAGCTCATTAAAGCTAGCTCAGATACTTCTGCACTATTATATAGACATACCCTCGGGCAGAGTATCCTTTAACACCTGTAAAGTTAAATTGTAGGGGCAAATCTAGACTATCTGCCCCTCTGCAATATGTTCATGTTGGCATTGTCTTGTTTACAGTAGCTTTGGGTAACAGGTGTTGTAACACTGTAATTCCCAACTGGAGATGAGGCAGGAGTGTTTCTTCAGAGGATGTGAAAACTGAGACGCTGAAGCATGGCTGAAGAAGGTACACAGTAAGAAAAAAACAAGGTGATGACATTCCACAGTTAAAAGTTTAGTTTGTTATCAGTAAAACAGTTTTAATAAAGTTCCATTAGACTGCTGAATAGGAAATGGTGGCAGCCAGTGGATAAGACACTAAAACATGACAAGGCAACGTACTTGGGGTTGTTCTGTAGAAAACGTCCCACAGAAACTAAGCAGCCACATGAGCCTGTCCCTCTTCTCCTGGTGGGAACCAAAGAAGGAGGAGTCCCTGTTCTTCCTTAGCTATCCCAGAGCATGCCTCAGCTATAAAGACAGCCATGTAAAGTAACCTTGGCTCACGTTTTTTGTTTTATAGTTCTGGCTATTTCAGCTGAAGAATTTTTGTACAATGGGAGTAAAACTGTTGCATTTAAACTAATAAACTAATAGACTGTTTATGAGCCAGAATATCTGATGGGCTGGTCTGAATCAGCTATTCAGTTTTGCTTTTGTTTATGTGACCAGACTGTCCTAACACGGGTAACTGGATTTGTTTTGCCCCCAAACCTGAAGGCATATTGTGGGGTTCAGAAAGTCCACTCCACGGCAATCAGTATGACTGAAGGGTATGTTCAGATCTGTTCTTTTCTGGTTTTCCTTGACAATGACTTTGTGAAACTGTTGCCAGTTCAAACACAACCAGAGATTGTTGTGGCAAAAGACCAGATTCAGCTAGAGTCAGCACTGTGATGTTCTCAACCTTCTTTGTTTTCCTCTCCCAAACCAGCATCTCTAATTACAATTTTCTTTTATTTGTTCTTCAGAATGCTCACTCTCCCTTGGACAAAGGCAAAATGTGCTGCTGCTTTTCCTTCACCAACCCCTTTAAGAAGTGGTGAGAAAAGAGTAACAGGACATGGAAGCTGAAGTCTTTTATGTCTATTAATTCCCCCCTCCCTTCTGATTTCCTCACAGGGATTTAATGTTCCTAATCAATTTTTAAGAACCTTGGACTGATGGCGTGGTGCATTAAAACATGAGGAACAGAAGTGTCCTGGCACTGTAACTAGAGGGTGGACAGCATACAAGTCATATCTGATTACCCAGAAAAGTCACTGTAGTGTTCTAAAATCTGCAGTTCAGGATTCTTTCTATGGCTCCTTGTGCCCACTGCCTATGTTGAGCCACTTGATTAAATTTGTACTGTGATTTTCTACCTAACACTTGTGCTGAGTATTTTTAACAAATTTATGGCAAACAGAAAGTTTTGGGTTTGGTGGATTTAAATGGGAAGCCTAATGCTAATTTCTTGTCCCAGTAAACATAAAATAGGCAAGTCATTTTATACCTTCATATCGCAATCCACAGTCCTGTGAAGCTCTCCATAACTCTCATTTCAGAAAAACAGCAACTCTGAAGGAAACCCAGTCTCACAGCAATCACTTTCTGGCCTCCACACAAACAAACTGCTTAAGCTAAGATAAAGTCATCGTAATCAGTACCAAATGAGGGGCAATCTTTTATCTTAATACAAACAAGAGAACATAGTGTACAGAGCAACAGAAAAATATACATCTTCAGCCATACAAAATGCATAAAAGCTTTCCTGTTGAAAGAGTACCTTATAGCTGACAGTCAGATGTTAGTTTTCTAGATGACCCTGCACTACTGAACAAGGGGAAACAGAGAACTCCTTTTTTTTTTTTTTTTTCCCTAGGAAATAGTTGGTAGCATTACCTGTATACCATAAACTCCCTCCCTGCGGCTGCAGGTCTGCTAGTGCTGGACCACCCACCCCACCTCATGCCTGAGATAGCTCCACTGGACGTAGAGGCTGTTTGCGTGTCAGAGGTGAAGGGGATATATAGCCAGGTGTACCCTCCACAGGTTTGCCAGGACATATGTGCTGATTACCAGAGCAAAAAAAATGGGTATAGGCAAGCTATGCCGTAAACTGTCATTGTTCTTGTTCTTTAAAGTGATCGATCAATTCATGTCAGTCAGGAAGGTGGTTTATTTACCTGGGAGGGAAAAAATTCTCCCTGTGTGAGTTACGTCCACGCCGCTGAGGCTCTGCAACCTTCAGTGCTGGGGCAGAAGATGTCTGAGCGTGGGCAAGCCCTAATGCCTAGGCAGATTGGAGAAGGTAAAACTCCTCACTTACTTAAAAAAAGTCAGTACCAAGCTAGAAAGTCAGTAGCAAATTGCTTTAAACAACTGATTTTTTTTTTCATTAATGGAAATATGTTAAGATTGAGTTGAAGGTTTAGGTCAACATGACAAACTATAGGGAGTATTGGGTGTGTATATCTGTATGGTGGGGTGTCTTTCCCCTTTGCAGCTATTTATATCTCTGAGTGAAGGTTAAGGTTAGGAATTTAATAAGACAGCCGTTTATTCTGTGGAGACTAACAGTCCTGGGGTTAGGATGTAATAATCATTCTTCTGCTTTAAAAATGGTTCTTTAACAAATAGCAGTAGCTCATTGCAATTTTCAGTTGTACAAAATGACATATTTTCTATGTTACTATCAAAATATTCTGCATAACATTAATTTCTGTGCACTTATTAACATATGTACAGAACAGTGTTTCCCAATAGAAATCAGTATGTTCCTTGCTGATCCTTTTTTGCCCTAGATTTACCAAAACCAAACCAGAAATTAATTGTGTTAATAGTATAAAATCTCAGGAGAGATAAAGGATTGAAGGTTTATTTCCCAGCAGCAAATGAATAAAGGAACTCCTTCAAATTAAAGTCTAGCTGAGACGTAATTTTAACCAACCGTGGTGAATCCAGGCGAGCCAGGAATATCACACATTTTCCCGATGCGTTATGTTGAGTACACAGAAGCAGAGGAATGTAAACAGACAGAAGGCACATGAAAGGCCCCAATCCATTCTCCATCTGACGGAAGTGCGAATTTCATAATTCTGTCATCAAGAGTCTTTTCATCATTTTCTCTCTCTCAAGTTCACGCCTCAGAGTCTCAGCGCTGTGTAATTAATGCACAAACAGCCAATTATGGGAACAACAATAAGTTTTAGATTTCAATTTAAAATAATTAACATTTTCAAAATACCAAAGGAGGGGAAAAAAGGTCAGACTCAATTCAGAGAAAAAGCCGATAACTGATGGCTGATTTAAAAACAAGCACCACTTGATATTTCTGAAGAGGCAAGAAAAAGGACATAATTTGCCACATGGCAAAACAATTTAGGATTTCATCTAACCCTCATTAAAGGTTACTGATTTCAAAGGAAGCTGGACTAGGACTCTAAAAATGAAACAGTTACAGCAAATGCCATCATGAAATACTGCTGTTACAGCCTTCTGCTCCTTGGCATGGTCGGATACAGGGGGACATCTGTATATGCTGAATTTACCACAGTCCTGCACCTACCAGGATGTGGGAGTCAGAGCCTAAAGTCCTTGCTCTCACATACCAATTCGCTCCAGAGCACACAAACTCTGTAACACTGGAAATGCCTTGGATTAGAGATTGCATTTCTGAAACTGTTTGCTGTGTTGTTCTGAAAATTAGGTATCTAATGTTTTACAAAAACAGTTTGGAGATTTAAACTGCAGTGCAGAGACCTTGCAGCCCATTTATGAACAAGCAGGTGTAGAATCATCCACTTGAGACATCCTACAGAAGCTAAGTTCAGCACTACAGCTTCAGAATTACATTTTCACTGGAATGATAAATTTTTAGATGACTTAGCAATGTTGAAGAAGTGTGCAGGTGCAATTAGCCAACATCTACAAAATATAATTAACAACCAAAAATGGGAACTGACTGTGAATCCAAAATTAAAAAAGACTCATTTATTATGATGCCAAAGAAATACTTTTCAACATAAGCCTAGGATTATTTGTGCTCCAGAACTACTGAAGTATATCCACTCATATGTTTGTATTCTGTCAATTATCAGCCTGTGAAATTCAGCTTTTATTAAATTCTAGAATAAGAAGCAAGTATGGAAAACCAATAGGATGAAAGAATAGAAAACTGAAAACAGTCGGCCTGTGGAAAGATGGATAGGTTGCTGTTTCCTTGAGAAACTACATGAAAGATCACTGTAGCTTGACATCATTAAAAAAGAAAAAGGAAAAAAAAAGGGAGAACAAGAAAGAAAACAAATGCGTTTTTCATTTAGAAGAACAGACATTTCTCAACCTCAGCTTTCCCCGAAGGACATTTAATTTCAAAAAACAAATTGCAACAGCAATTATTAAAACAAAACCTTTGTGGTTCAGACAAAATGACTTGCCTGAGCAGAATCTGCACAACTCTTTCTCTCCAGGCCATTGGCTGTAGAAATGGCTGCTGGCTGCAGCAGCTGATTAAGGTAGTATTTTTTTTTCTCAGTGCACATATGAGTTACAAGTATTTCTTTACATAACCCACAAGCAGCAATCTTTCAGTATAGAAGGAAATGACAGAAAAACGGAAATCAAGCTGATTCCTTTAATGCAGAGAGCATCATAGTATTTCTGTGAAAGAACTGCACAGTACCTGTCTGCCAGCGAAATCGGTTTATGCGACGTATACACTGTCTGGACTGTTGGAGTCGGTACAGTCTCTGCCAAAGACCTCAGCACAGGCGATGGAGTTACCAGCGTTATCTTGGGTGATGACTGCACTGCACAGCATTGCATTTTGCTGTCTGCAAATTCTGCCTACAAAACAAAAAAGTATACACACACACACAAAGGGAAAAGGTGTAGATTAGCTTCTACTGGTCTTGCTATCCTTCACTATCCAATTAGTTGCCAAGCAGTAACAACTGATAAAGAGAACGAATGGGAGGCTGTAGCTGTAACTTCTCAATGTGACCTCTGTAGATACTGAACAGTCACTTCTTTTGATGCCTGAGGGACAAGCCTGATTGCAACACACACTGTGTGAGATGACACCACATAGGAGACTGGCAGCATTCAGGTAAAAGACATAATCGGTTTGGAGAATGACACTTGTCATTATTGCATTTTCCCTAAAAATAATGCTGACAACATGAGATTTCTGAAATATTCTTCAGAAATCCTATATAATTTGCTGGTGGGTCCTCTGACTGCTCTGTGTTTTGTTAACAGCTAGGAGTCTGGGCTTTTAGGAGTCTGGGTTTCCAAGACTCCATCCCTTTCCCACACGTGCTAACTGGAACAAGCCTCAACAGATATTCTTGCAGTATCCACTGACAGGCAATGTTAAAGCAATATTGGAAGTGCTAATTTAACACAAACAGCAAGCAACCATCTCCTGTCTTTCAGATGAGGCGTATTAGTGCAGCAATATTACAGCAAAGACTGGGCTACCTTAACAACAACAGGGGAGGATCCCTAAAAATCAAACAGCTCTGTCTTGTTTTTTGGTATGGACTATTTCTCATGCCAAACCACAGCAGCTAGTGCCTATGGTGCATGTATGACCCTGAACTGGGAAGAAAACAGAGGAACTGCAGTTCATGTGTCAGGATCATTAGAACATGCTCCTAATGGTATCAGCTGCATTTCTTCCTTGACAACTTTTTCTTCTGAACCTGGTTCAAAATTCTCTGTAGTTCAACTTTTAAAACTCAATCATACAAGTTGCAGAGATATGAAATTTGGTGTTCCTCATACAGGATCCCTGTGCTCCGAGGACCGCCAGATCTTACTTTATGGCATGAGAAGAAGGCATCACTGTGATGCTGATATAAATTCTCCCAGCTTTACTGAAATCAGCAGAGTGATGATAAATCACACTTGTTGAAGAATTGTCTGGAGTCCTATAGTGTGTTTGCTCTGTATAATTTTTTTACAGTATATACCCAAAGCATCATTTTAGGTGTATCTGCTTGCACAGTATGCTTAAGCCAAATATTTACCTGTTCTAAACAGATATAATTCCATTTATTTAAATCTATATGAGTTATACCATCCTGAGAATGCGGCCATCATGCCTGCCATTTCTCAATGGAAACCACTGAAATTCAGATGGTTCCTGGCATGAAGCTTATATTTAAACGTACCAGGTAACCAAGTTCTCTAATTTTTCGTCTGATAAAATCAACATGACTGCATATACACCACTAAATTCGAAGCTGTACACAAAAGTTAAATGTCTAAATGTCACTATCCATAATTCTTTTCATGCTTAATAACATTTCAATGTTTTCTTCCAAGCAAAAATAAATAAATAAATAAAAAAGTAAAAGGGAAGCAAGGAAATGAAAAAGAAAAAAAAAGAAAACAAACAAGGAAAAAGATCAACAAATGTTACCATTTGGGTTTGTGTGTGACTGGAGACCATTCTGCCTGCAAATCCTACCACTGATCTAAACTCTTCCCTTCCAGCTCCCACCTGTGATGTAACTATCTTCAAGCCCTCGGCAGAGCCCATGCATCAGGATGAACTGAAACTGCTGGGGAGAAGCACATCTCTTTGGGCTGTGATGGAAGGCCATGAAATGCAGGACCAAAGCCCAATTAACCTTCCTAATATTTTCCCATCTTTATGCAGTCCTCTAGGTAGCTGTTTGTTTGCATAACTCACAGGAATGTATGGGATCATATGATGGATCACACACCGTTAGTTTTTTATTGTAATGGTGTTTTAAATATATGTGGTCTGGATTCTGCCCTCCAAGCTGCCCAGGGAAATGGAAATCTATGGGAAGAAGATGAAATTTCAGAAAGCTTAGCTTGAATTTTACTTTGCTTCTTCTCTATCAACAGAACAAAAATTTTAACATTTGAATTTGCGATTTTCTGTGGTATGGAAATTTCTGTGGGTAACTATATTGGTGTATCTTCTGTTTCCATTTTACAGTTCTGTCCCCCCCAAGGATGGAAAAGTATGTTATATAACCCACCTAAATTTTGCTTTCATCATAACTGTCAGAGACCATAATGAAAAATAATGTCCTGACAACCATTACTAAATAGTGGGAAAGGTATTTTGAGGGCATATCTTTTTCCTTAGATAAAGTACTACTATGAAAGACACAAACACTGTAACTTTGAGTTAGCCTTTATCACAATTGTACTATCTGGACTTGGCTGACCTAATGAAATGTTGCTGTGACATATTCATGTGTACTTTTGAATGCATTTAATTAGAGCTCAGTAGTGACACTTATACAACCTGGGGAGCCTAACTAACTCTGTCTTTAAAATACTTATATGGAGAAAAAACACATTTATGTAAAAGCTGGTGATCAGGTCCATTGTGAAAGAAAAGCCTCTTTCTTTAAATCATTAAATGTGGACAGAACCTGCACATGACCTGACAGTGAATGAAGTTACTTATCTCTGATTATATGCCAGATATAGATTGCTGCAACCAATAAAAGTTAAGGTCAAAGTCTGAAATGCTTCATTTTGCAAACATAATTTAAAAACTTAAGTAATTTTACTGGGATTTATAAGCAGAGAGTGTTTCTTATAGAGTAGTTAATTTTGTCATACTTATTACAGAATGCTTCTACCATTAAAGTAGGACTTAGATTGAACTCACTTTTTAAATTGTCAAATAATTGTTTTCTGGTTTTCTGCAGTTTACCTTACCAAAATCCCTAAGTCACATCTTCTGTGAAAGTTTAACAAGAATCAAATTCAGTATTGGATTCAAGTTATTAGGTAAACATGGGAGTTTATACAAAGGATACCATTGTAGTCATCAACACAGTAACTATAATTCTTCCTTAAAATTCAGATGGAAATTCAGTGAAAATCAGGGCCCTCTTTGTGATGGCACAGCAGGCAGTTTCAGGCAGGAGGCCATGCAATTGCTAGACAGAGGACTGAGTCTTCCCATTCCCCTACTGCTCCTTGGAAAGATGCTATGGAGCTTCACAAGTGTCCTCTACAGTCCTGAACAGCACGTTTTGGGATTGACTTCATTAGTTGTGAGCCTCGACCTTTAACTCTTAGTCCTCTGTCTAGGAAGCAGCAATGTCTGAATGCAGGCAATATTTTGAATAATGGGAATATTTAACTGATTCATACTCTAATTTTTACTTGGAATTCATACTTTTTATTTTTGAGGACTACTTAGCGCATAGATTTCTGACACTTAAAAAATCAGCTGGAATTGTGTTAAAACACAGTTTTTTTAGTTGCACATTCTACTTACAGAAAACTGTGGTACTGTTGTAAAAGGATCGAAAAAAGGATTAGATGTATCAGCAGGGAATGTCTTTATCTTTAAAAAAGATAAAGAAAAAGATGTTACTTTCAGAGCATAAAAATGCAAAAGAAAAAAAAAGCAGCAAAGCATTGCAACTACAGTGACATATCCAACAAATCAGAGCAGTTCAGCAGTGCTTGGACTAGACCAAAAAAGACCCATTCCAAAATGCATACAGAAACCTGATGATGAATAATCAAAGCATAAATACAAAAACTTGATAAATTAATTTTACCATGTAATTAAATCTGTTGTGCAAATACGGAGCTGATTGCATACAATATATTTTCCAATTCTGTCAGCAGCCATTGGATTATTATCTGCTTCCTCCAGCCAGCCTTACATTTTAAAATATGCAATATGAAGTGTAGGAGCAAATTCTGCAGTAGAGGAACTCTGGCTAAAGAACTTGTGCTTTACATATTTTAGACTTCCAAATGGTCACTTACACTGTTGCTGCCAAAGACAAACAATCACACAAGGTGGGATAGAAATAAAATCATATATTAAAAAATCACTGGGGATAGCTGTTTGTCTCAGGCAGCTACAAGGTCCTGTGTTCAGAGGAGGGCTGTGGCTAAAGGATGACCCTTGGAGGTCTTTTTGAAAAGTGCATGGAGACACAGAGGCAAGAGACCAAGACATCCATCTGCCAAGAAGCATGAGAGCTCCCATGGCTTGGTCCATGAGGATATAGTCTGTGGGGTGACCAGACCCTGTTGCAAGTCACTTCTGCCCTTAAAGTGGTTTCAAACACCAGCTGAAATTAAAAATGTATTAAAAGCAGCAACAATCTCCGTCCCATTTCATTGTGAATGCTGTTTCCAATGATTTTCCTCTTTAAAATGCAGACATCATTCATTCAAAGGGAGGACAAAATAGCAAATAAAGGTAACAGTTTTGAACTGCATTTCATGCTTTCCCTTTGGAAAACCACATTTTTCACCGTAAAGGTACGTTTTTCACTTTATTATAGAAACTGCTGTGCATTGGTTTAATGCATGTCTTCAACCATAATTTACTAACTACAGCTATACAACTGTTGTTTAATAATGAGGAAAGCTACCCTGAGGGCCATGAGCCCCTGAAGGCCAAAGGAAAACCTGGAATTATATCATCAAATATAATTAAGTAAATGTATGGTGTTTATTTTGTAAGTAGAATAACAGAAACGTTGGCTTATATGGGTACCAAGGGAAATTAACAGCCATCTGTGGGCCAACTTCTGCAAATGTGGAATTAAGCTTAGCATTAATTGTCAGGCTTCTTACACACAAGGAGTATGGATAGCAAAGATACAGTTAAGCATGTAAATAACCTTTTAACAGAATAAATGTATTTGTAAGTCAATGATACAGGCGCAAATGAACAAACAACTATGTGAGAGAGAAATTATTTTAAATCACAGTTTTCTAGGCAAACATAGTAAAGAAAACTTCACAGTCCTTTTATAGTCCTATATTCATGTCTGTTAGCAAAGTATATGTATGTGTACTGTATTGCTGATTGAACCTACTCGTTGTATTGATGCAATAGCTCCTCAAAAGTTTGTTATGTTATGTTATACCCTGAGCCAAATCTGTCAACAGCTGTAGCATGTGTCACTCCTTTGAGAGATAGTAAATACCCATGAGCCCAGGTTATTAAGGGTTTACAATATGATGTTACAGTACTAAGTACAAGTGTACTTAGTTACAAATAAAATCTTTGAGCCAAAGGCAAACAGGGATGGGAAGCTGGTTGCTCATGTGCAGTATGAGTTTGATATTCTACAGCTGAAATCCCACTTATTTTGCTGGCTAGTCTCACTAACGAAATTAGTTACTAAATGCAGGAAAGAAAATTATGCAGAATAATACTCAAGAGTCCACAGAGGTTTGGGAGTAGAGGCATATAACAGGAATCAGCCCTGATTACATGCCGCGACACACAGCCATGCAGAATACTCTCTTGCAAAATCAGCACTGCAATCTGTGGATGTGCATGAGGCCAGCCAACATATCAAAACATGACAAGAAACAGTTAATCTGGTTTAGTTTTCAGTGTGAGTCCCTCTCTCAGGGAGCTGTGCTCATTTAATCTTTGGAATAAGACAATTTCGATAAATTAAAAGCTCTCTGGGTTCTAAACTCATCAATTTCCAGCCTTTTAAAGAAACTGAAAACAGAAATTATGGAGCAGAGGGGGAAAAAAACATAACTGTGTTCAATTTAAGAGTGACAAACAGAAAACATTGTGCTCAGCCTTTAGAATTTATTTTTTCTTCCTCTCATCCTTTTTTCCCCTCTGAGAACAGACCACTGTTACTCAAATGGCACAACAGAGCTTACTGGTTTGGCCCAGGCCTTGCTATGATTGCTGCTGCCAGCTTCCATAGGCAAGGCAGAGAGACAACATTGTTATTGCCTCCTCAACATTGGCATGAGGTTCTTAACCATTGATGGCTTGGCTCTTCTGAGTAGGAAGTATGTACAAAATCCTCATCCATACAAGAGCGAGAAAAACCCCCATACATTCAAGAACACTTTTCAGACAGACGATATGCAGGATGGGGAGACAGTAGCGTGGAGAGCACCTGTTAAGCAATCAGTTTATGTGAAACTTCATTTGGAAGTTTGAAAAGTCTTCTCACTCAGGAATATATTTTTGGCCTAACTATCCTGCATGTCCACCATGGCCAGCAGCGTGCTGACAAAAGTAGCAGTTGCCAGCACCTGGGAGGTGGAAGAAAACCCTGTAATTCCCACCCCACCACACAAGGAAAGCAGTGTCATATGCAAGTCTCTTCCTGACCCTTGCACTGGGGCTGAGTTTATTGCACAAAATGGAAACTTTCAGCTCAGAAAGCAAAACAACTCCCTGATCAGAACCTAAATGTTATGCATTCCCCACACAGTACACAACCTCTCTCCCTGCCCTAGGAGGAACATGTACTACACCTTTAAATATCTCCTAACTCACATGGCAGAAGCAGACCCTTAAATTTTCCAGGGTGCTTTCTTCTCCCTGCTGTTGCAGCATCAGTTAAAAGATACCACCTGGGAACTGAGAAAGGAAGAAGAGCAGAGCCAACTCCACCACCTGCTGCAAACCTGCAGTTCCTCCAGCTTCTGGAGACCTTCAGCAGCTTCCAGGCTTTACCCTGGGATGGCACACACGGAGGGAAAAGGAAGAGGGAAGAGGAGGTGGGCAGTTCTGTGCAGATCACTGTTCTGAGCAGACTACTCTCACGAAGCTGAATTGTAGCTGCTCAGACTAGCAAAACACAGTAGCTGCTAATGTGTGGACAAGAAGCTGAAGTCTGCTGTCTGCTTTGGTATGAAAGAAAACAAGTAACATCTTTGAAGTTTACAGCTGGGCACAATTCCTGTCATGGCAGATGGAGCAGCAATTGTGTCCACATGACGAGCACCTTCTGGTACAGCCAGGGTCTTCCACAGGAGCAAAAGGGGCTACAGAAATATCATGAGCAACAAGAGGTTAGAGCTGTGCTCTTGATAACAGCACAGACAGGCTTTTAAGTATAAAACTTGATTGCAAGCACACTTGCTCTCTCTGCAGGAGTGAAAACAGTCTTGCAGCCAAAGTCACAACCATAAAACAACCTTTAAGGCAGGTCCCGTAAGTAACTGTCAGGTTGCAGGAGCATGGCATGAAAGGGTAGTGAAGGCATTTGGTGTTCCAGCAGCACCTCACATGCTGAGGGCTTGTTTCACAACCTCAAATGCCCTTTGCTTGAAAGGTCAGGGTGCATTACCATAGCAGAACTACTTTGGACAAGTAACTCCTTGTCTGGAATATTTAGCTTGGCAAGCTGAGAATTTGCTAAGCTTAAAAAACCAGTTGATTCTTAATAAAACGAAAGAAAGAAAAAAAGAAAAGAATAATACAAAAAGGATCAGAATAGTCTCAGGGAAAATATAGTGGTCAAGTAATCTTCAAGGAGAAAAATCTTAAAACCAGTCAAATGTAACAGTCACATTGATTTTGTGGGAAAATGAGTGAAATTTTATTCCTCTGTGGATAATTTACTGCTAGTACTCAGATTCTTGTTGCATTATTAGCTGTCCATTTGGGTAACATATTTTGGAGATATCTTTGCCACAAAGAATTAACAGCACTGATTTTCCTTGATATTTGGAATGGAGGAAGAGTGAAGGAAGAAAAAGGTCAAAAGGGCAAGAACCTTCCCCTTTTCTTTGCATTTGTGCAAAGAGTTCTTCTGGATAGAATTTAAAATTTAGGTAAAAACAAATGCTTTCCTGAAACACCTTGTAGATGAGTTAGGAGAAAAAAATGTAACTTTCTCATAAAAGCAGAAGGAAGTGGAGGCAGACAAAGAAAGAGTACTTTTGTCATGTTAATTGATATAAAATCAGCTACTTTGGTATTTCTATCAGAAGGGAATATTACGAATGTCCTTGCTGTGGCAAAAAAAATACTACTTTTGGGAGAAGTAGGCTTAATATGGATATGTTCCCTTACAATTGGAGTAGTGTATTCACTGCCCTGGCACAACTTTCCTTCCACAAAGCTGCAGTAACATTTTCTGCAGTTGACACTTCAATTCCATCCCCTGCACCTTGACTGGAGGCATTTATAACATGATGGTGAAAGTGTGTGATCTCAGTGTCACTTTGTATACTGGCCAGACGGAAGACAAACTTTAGGCCAAACACTTCACTAGATTCCTGTGCATAGCAGCAAGCAGAGGCAGAGCTGCTAACACCTGAAGGGGTGTCATAAAGAAGACCCTCAGGATACACATATCGCCAGAGGAATATTCTGTGGTGCTTTATTTAAAAATACATGGTGTAAATTGAATACCATTACATCTATACAGCACAGAGACTTGTTTCTGCTCATCAAATTAGAAAAGAACATCAGCAAAAACTTCTGGAGCTCATTGCACTAGCATTTCCCAGTCCTGACATTTAATATGACTTTAAAAATACCAGTTAACCATTAGGCCTGGTTTCCAAAACCAGTGTTATGATTCTGGACTCCGTAATTGT